GATCACCTGAGCAGCTTGCAGAAAGATGGGCAGAGTGTTGGCATTATAACTGAGTGTGTCTGAAATGGAGCAGAAATATCTCAGAATGGTTGTGTTGCAGTAACTGAGACTCCAGTGATGAACACTGAAATGTCAGCATGTTTAGGACTGTAGAAGTGGGTGATGGGATGCAGCATTTTCCCTGGGCCAGTGGGTTTGTTTTCCATTTACAGTCAATACTCTCCTTCTTTCTTTTGCCATTTCTCTCTCCATGTCTTGTCCAGCAGTATCATGCTTGATTCATAATACCCACACATATGCTTCTATTCTGCATTTTAAACACGTTGCCAAGTGTGCCACTTCCCTAATGCTTTATTAATCCTCAAAGAATCATTCAGGCACTGTTCCACACACACTCCTTCTTCTCATTGTCAATGTTATTGTCTGCTGGAATTGGTAAATCCCTCACTGGTGGGTGATGAGAGGTTGAGAAGCTGTCTGGTGATGAATTACACTGGTCATTAGATGAAGGTTAATAATGACAAGTATCTGTGCAGGGAGATTTTGAAAGCCAGTGGTTTTCAAAGTTGTGCAGACGTTCCATAAAAGTTATTTGAAGGGTTCAGTGAGTCTATGTGCTGTGGTTTACATAGTGTGACTGCAGTATTTAATGCAATTGAACAAGCCCAGACTTGATGTGCTTGTTGGTAGGGCTAAACAATTTGGGCAAATTTTTAAATCATGTATCAGTATGGCTATAAAATAATAATAATAACAATAATAAATAACTAAATAATAATAGTAATTGTTATTTTTACATAAATGATAAAATATAAATATTAAAGTGTTAAAGAAACATTTTATAAAAAATAATCTTTTTTTTTTAATTATTTTGATTAATTGTGCAGCCCTATGGCCAGGTCATTATGTTGCTGGTTCCTCAGGGGCTGCATCTTTTATATAGACCCTCTTGCATACCATCCCCCACTAAGAGCATGCTCTCATTATTCCTCCACATATGTGTGTGGTTGGATGTTTCTTTCATATTTTTCAGTGGATGTAGCGGTTTTCTACTGACAGCTGTGCAAGAGCAACAGCAGTTATCTGTTGATGAAGATGTTGAATTCTTTCATCTCTGTTGCGTTCATGCATGATTACACACTCCTGCTCTCCATAGGGCCTGAGCTCTCATTAATGATTTGTTCGCTCAGATCAGGGGACAAACCAAGAGCCTCTGCATCTGTGCTAATTACTGTAGCAGCTCTTCATCCTTGTAGAGATGCTATCTGCGGCTGTGTAAAGCTAGGAGTTTCTAATAAGAGCATGAAGAACGCTTGAGAGAAAGACAAGTCAAACATCAAGTAATTTTTAATTTCTGAACTCCTTCCCATGCACACAATACACACAGTGGCAAAAAGCTGCACGATTTAGTGAAATAAAACCGAAATCACGATATGGCTGAGTGCAGTTTTAAATGGCAAAGACTGTGATTTATAAATACATGTGATCCGTGTTTCAGTGAGTGTGGCACTGTGTTCATTTACTCGCATGTAGCTCATCATCCAAGTTTCGAGCAGCAGTAAATGCTGTTGCGTAAGAAATCATCCATGCATCTGCTTTGAGTTTTGGTTCCTTGTGCATTTAGGATGCAACATGCACCAACCATCGTCCCAAACTTGTAATTAGAAGCGCTTATAAACAGGCTGTAATCAACAAACGAGAAGCTTTACAGGCTCCTTTTGCTGAGTTCACACTGCACGATTTTCAAAGTCATCAGATCACCATTGTTTTCACACTGCACGACTATCTGGGGTAGCATTCAGTTGCTGCTGCGTTCACATTGCACGATGGATCGGCGACAGGAGGTTACACATTGCATGACAATAGGAAGAATCGCCGACAACTCTGTCTGGTCCGCAAACTACTTTTCATATAACTCCTCCCTGAACTTCCCACTGTTCTGTATCTTGCCCTCTCATTGGCAGTATGCCATCACCAATGTATCTTTTAGTCAGAGCTCATTTCACACAGCAGGATTTTGAATCGCTGACAGGTCCAGATATTTAGCATGCTAAATATTTCACGGGCGTCTGCAATTTTCTCAGATCACGTCTTTGATAATTCACACTGCGTGATTGTCATTCGTGTGAACGAGCACCGATTTGCCTCTGCTTTTAGGCATTTGTTGGCATTTTCGCGAAACCTGTCGGCGAGTGAAAATCGGGGTTAAAATCATGCAGTGTGAACTCGGCAAACGTTTTTTTCCCAAAATAAAAGCTCAATGGGTTCATTTTTAAAAATTAGGACAATAAGCCATAATTAATATAATATTTTTCTTAAATACTAATTTTTAATAATAATAACAGTTAACAGATATAATCACAATCATAATTTATGCAGAAAAATAAAAATTTTCCACAAATTGTAAGCCCTGTATCTGTTTTTACTGGTGTTCCGCTTGTCATAGTTTCTTCCACGATTAAGACACAAGACCAATTGCTGTTTTTGATACTGTACATACAATATGTAAATGATCTTATATTAGCCTCTGTGAATACATTACTTTTTGTGCTGGCTGTGATAATTTCATTTCTGAATAACCCATTATTGTTTCAATTAAGTCTGGATAGGCTGTGGAGGGAGTTTTGTGTTGTGAATAGTACACCGAATGATTTTTCCCCAAAAGAGCAGGGAAATCTTTTTAATGTCTTCTAATGGAAATGAAATGTGTAAGTGTATGTAGCTCAGCTGTCTGTTGTAATTGTTTTTCTGCCTGGCTTGGTTTCTTTACCCAGGGGCAGAGCAGCCTGTCTTTTGTCTTCACCACTGTAGTTCCTCTGACTGGAGGTGGGACAGCTCGTCATAGTCAACCATCTGTTGACAAAGAACAGCTTCTGTCTGTTTGTCAGTCTGTCTCTCGGTCTGCCTGTCTGTTTGCCTGTTTATTGTCCAGAAATGCATGTGTCGAAGAGGAGGTCATCCGCTGCAAAATCAGTATGGCGAATGTCCATGTCTGGGAAACTTACACTCATTGTCTAGTTTGAGGTTTGGGGTGGATTCACACATTATTCTCTGTTTGTTTGTGGGCAGGCGTGAGTTTATGTATGTCCAATGAGTCAAAATTCCAATTACATGCTTGTGTTGTCTAGCAGTGGATTTCAATGTTGGTTTCAAATAGCCTACTTTTTCAAAATCCTCTTTAATTACAGTAGAATAATATTTGTGAATTCTGTCAGGTAACCATTGTGATAGTTCTCACAGTATATGAGGTATCATATACTGTGAGTATTTGGGAATTTTGTCACAAAATAATAATGTAAATGGATGTTTCTTCTGGGCCATTTAATGCTTTGAATGTAATGTGTGATTTTTTTGTTGAAGCTGGTGTTTGTGTATTGAGTTTCCTCTTTGAAGCTAAGGGCTTATCGATCCGTTTCCCAATTATTAGTAGTTAAGTTCATACAGCTGGCCATAATTCAGTCCGGTGCTCACACAATGAACAGCACTTTACTGTGGAGAAGAGCAGGAGGACACATCTAAAATGATATCATTGCTCACTGTGTGTTATTGCATTTACAAATTATAAAGTGGGGAAATTTAGTAAAGTAAAAAGTAAAAAATCTGCTTAGTCTGAAAACCTTTCATACTTCATTTGTATTTTCTTTGTAAGTGATTATTTAATTCTGTAATATTATGTGAGAAATGTTGTTGGGTCATTCTATTAAACATGTGCCTTGTCCAATCTGATGGCGAGATCATCTTTGAAGTATAATTTTTGTAAGGTTTTAACCATTTCCTTATAGTTATGTATGTGTTTTAAGTGTAAATAAATTGCCTTGTGTAATTTCAGATTAATTGAAAATAATGTCAGAATATAATATACACTTAAAGAAATTGGTGTAGAATTTAACAGTGCTATCTCACAACCAATTCTTACGTATTTTATGAGGTGGCTAATTTGTAAGAATTTGTACGACTTCACTCGTATACGATTTTGTTTGAGGTTTAGGGGTGGGGTTCGGGATGGTCATTTGCATGAATTCCTACGAATTTGGCACCTTGTAAAATACACTGAAAAAAATTATACTTTTTCAGTAAATACATTTTATTTTGCTACATTTAAAAAAAAACATGTTGAAAGTTAGTCAAATAAATGTATTTAAATGTAGCTAAAATAAATTGATTGCAACCACTTACCGTAAAAAAATTTAGTAAATTAAATTAATTTTTTCAGTGTACGTACGATTTTTCACAAAACTTACAAATTCATATGAGTGAGGTTGTACAAATTCATGCGATTCAGCCACCTAGTAAAATATGTACGAATTGCCACGAAATCGGGTTGGATTTACTTTCAACAATTAAACAATTTTCACCCAGAAATTGCAAGTACATTTCATAAATAATTACAAAGAAGTGGCAAGTGAAGTAACACATTGAATGAAACATGAAATTTTGAAGTAGAAAAGACCCTAATGACAAACATAACAAAACAACAGTTTGGTAATAGTAAAACAATATAGACTTTTTACAGTTTTTTAAGTCACATTATGACTTGATTGACTTGATAAAATGATTTATTTTAACAGGATTGATATTGTAATACTATGATCCTGTAAAAATCACCCAGTTGTTTTTTGGGGAAGACTGTGCTTGTGTCTTCTTATACTTTTTCCTTTATACATTCTACTTTTTAATGTGCTCTGAGGGTATCAGTTTGGCCTTTACTTCACTGCTTTGGAATAATAAAAGGCTAAAAAACACTTTTTAGGCTTGAATCAGACTTTAGTCCACAAAGACATGTCTAAGCTTTGTGTGTGGGCATCTGTGAGTGTTTAGAAATGAAAAGCCACCCACAGGTCATCCTGAAAGTCATACATTTCAACAGAGAATGACTACATGAAGATTTTGTGTTTTATTGATGTGTTTTATTGTTCTGTGGCTCTTACAAGCAACTGGGACATATAATAATCTGGGATTGTGCTGGTTTGTGTCTGACTGCTTTTGTGTGTGTTTTGCAGGGTTCTCGAGTGTGGGTGAATCATAAAGATCAGCTGGTCCCCTCTACAGTGAACTCCTGTGGAGATGGAACCCTGGTGCTCACCACCGACTACGGGGAGGTAAGACTCAGCAATCTATCATAAACACACACACATGCAAACACACACACAGATGTTGCCCTTTATGGCTGAATGGGTGCTGTGTGAGTCAGAGATTACGCTCGGTTGGTATTGTGCTCTGAATGTCATCATAACAGGGCTGAGGAGCTGTGTGTGTGTGTGCATATGCATGTTTGTGTGTGTATGTCTGCCATCTGCACATCTGAGGCTAAATCAATACATTCACCCTCCCATAAATGACCATGTGAAAGAGACTATATCAAATAACCGACCATAATGCACTCCTCCATTCTACATGTTATCTACATGCCATTATAAGGAAATAGTGTTGCTTTTGCATTAGCTTCACGCAATTAGAACATGCTAAGTTAAGTTTTTTAATTAGATAGATGTATATTTGATCTTTCTCTAAATATACTGGAAATTTCCAGCAAATTCTATTCTGTTAGATTAATCAAAAATGAGATTAATCACAATTCTTTACATGTTCAGCTTTATCTGCGTACACTGAAGTATACTCGCGCGATTTATAAAGATTGTAAAAAATCAATATGAATTGAGAAGTCTTCTGAAGAGACATCTCTTTATTTGATGAACATTTAATTTAGACTTTTGTTCACATATAAACATTCATCAACACGCATGCATAGAGCATCAAATATAGTAAACAAAAGCTCTTTTTGATTTTTAAAATAATTCATACTTTTAAAGGGGGGGAAATCTGATGGTAAAAGAGTGTATCAACTGAATTTACTATATATATATTTACTATATAGCATATCTCAACCACTTGATTGTTTGTTTCGTCAAAAAGCATAATCTATATTATCGCTCTGCTCTAATCTATTAAATGCTACTATGAGGCATGAAGACGTTAAGATATTATACACATTACGATTTATTGTGAATATGCTTTGAAAAACAATGTGTATTGTCAAAAGTGCTAAACAAATGAATTTAACTTGACAGTTTGATTTAAATCTACTTACTTCCTTGGCCTATAAATACCTCTACCGTACAAAGAATACAGTGTTACATTTCTGTTATATTGTCATATCACTTTCACACAGGATTGCAAGTTAGTCCAGTTAAAGCTTTCATTTGCACTGAACACTGAAGAAAGACCTCTTAGGTTATGTGCATAGTTTATAATAGTTTTAATATGTGCCTCATTCTGTCATCTCCATATAGAAATAAAATAAGCAGCTCCTCTTTGTGAAATTACAGTTAACCTGCCATGAATTGCATCAGGGACTGAAAGCAGTAGCCATCTTTTGAGATGGTCTCAATTCAGCATTCTTTAAAAGTTATCTTAATTTGTTGAATAAATACATCATAATTAATGCAAATCACTCTCAAACATCCAACAGTCACTTGACTATGACTATGAGCAGATGTATGATGTGGGAGCCTTAATATATTTCCTTTATAAATGTCTTTCGTTTTATTCTCTGCACGTGGCACTATTCCAGAATCTCAAAATGGAAAATAAAGGTTATATTATCTCATGTAAAATACACCTCAGAGAGATTTAATTCGTTTCTACAGTAAATACCTTTGTCAATGTTATGGAGTCTGTGCACCAAACTGTGTCTATCACATTTCTGTACAGTTCAGTGATCAGAACTGCCTCTGTTTTGAGGTTTAATTGTAATCAAATGGTTGTGTTAGCAGTTAAACTCCCACACAAGCACTCACAGTGCTGATAGAGGTAAGTAGTTTGTGATAGCTGTGGGTGTTGGAGCTGGCAGAGCTGTGATGTCAGGCTAATAATAACAGCTGTGCTGGCCTGGATTCTGCTCAGAAAGGGAGACTGCACAGCAGGGAAGGGTTATCTGTATGTACAGATGCATACAGGAAACCTGTTTGCATTTGTGTTTTTGTCTACAAACATTTGTGTTTGTAGTGCATACTGTATATGTTCATTCATGTGCATGCTTGGTAGGGGTGGGCAATATGGCAAGAATATCCTATCACAGCTTTTTTCAGGCAAGATCACGATCCACAATTTCCTCACCATTCTTTTTCATGTTGGTTTTTAGACTATTTTGCAATACTAAGCAGTACAGGAAACTTAATTTCCATATTTAAAAAACATGGCCATACAAGGAAACAAAACATGAAAGAAAAAACAATGAAAGACCACTGGGTTGATATGACCAGCGGTGGACTCTACTGAAGTCCTACATCTGTCATCTAGAATGACTCTTAAATGTGACGTTAAATGTTAAGGTTTCTCTGATGGAGATGCACATGCAAACAGACATTAAGGAGTGAGTCAGTTGACTAATAGTTATACTTACTGATTTACGATTATCATTTTTTAATGATTCCCAGTGTCTTTGTAAATCACTAAAGGGGAATTCGCACTTGATATTGCAGCTACAAATGTGATTTAATTTTAGTGAGGTTTGAATTGACATGTCACTGTTGGCAATGCAACAGATTTGATCAAAGTGTTTGATTAACTTCATGCAAATTGGCAGTGATGTCTACTAATGGAAGACCATGTGATCTGCTACAGTGGATGCTGCATTTGAGACTGCAGTGACTTAATGCTTAATACTTTCTCCAATCCCAGTTTAGTATACAAACACAATGCAGTGATTTGTTAATTGATTTCACAAATGAAAAAGTGTAAAAAGTGTGGAACTGTGGCACAATCAACACAAATTTCTGCTTGATGTATTAACATTAACTTTACCAAGTTTGGGGCAGAACTTCTGTTTGACCAACCAATGCCAAATGGAGGGATTGTGGTAAAAAACTATATTTTTGCCATTACAGTATGTTTGGTAATGCTAGTGGTGCAAAAGTTACAAATTTCAGCTTTAACGGAATAAAAAAACACCAAAATATTTTCTCACATGCTGTTTCAAAAATGTATGGATTTCTTTATTCTGTGGAACACAAAATATATTTTTTTGGGGGGAAAAACCCCATACAATGACTTTCATTATATGGGCATAAACAGTTGTAACATTCTTCAAAATATCTTCTTTTGTGTTTCACAGAAATGAATAAGTGATATTTTCCCCACCAATTATTTGAAATGGGCATCTGAATGAACAGAATCCCTAAAATGATTCAGACTTCCCAGTTCTACAGCTGAATCCAAGGTAATATGAAAATATGAAACATCTCCTTTAGGTTTTATCTAAGTCTGCATTTACCCTATATTTCCTGTATGCTGGTAACCTTGATGTTTCATGAACACCAGAGAGCTTGTGCTGACATGAGAATATTCAGTAGCATTCTCAAAAACTATATTTTTGCCATTACAGTATGTTTGGTAATGCTAGTGGTGCAAAAGTTACAAATTTCAGCTTTAACGGAATAAAAAAACACCAAAATATTTTCTCACATGCTGTTTCAAAAATGTATGGATTTCTTTATTCTGTGGAACACAAAATATATTTTTTTGGGGGGGAAAACCCCATACAATGACTTTCATTATATGGGCATAAACAGTTGTAACATTCTTCAAAATATCTTCTTTTGTGTTTCACAGAAATGAATAAGTGATATTTTCCCCACCAATTATTTGAAATGGGCATCTGAATGAACAGAATCCCTAAAATGATTCAGACTTCCCAGTTATACAGCTGAATCCAAGGTAATATGAAAATATGAAACATCTCTTTTAGGTTTTATCTAAGTCTGCATTTCCCCTATATTTCCTGTATGCTGGTAACCTTGATGTTTCATGAACACCAGAGAGCTTGTGCTGACATGAGAATATTCAGTAGCATTCTGTGCAGTAGTTCAAACCCTCCTCCATAAATCAATACACCTATCCAGCCTTCTGTTAGGTCTCAGGCAGCCTTTTCAGGAAACTCCAGCAGCCTCCATATTGTCTTTCTGGAGGTCTTCTCTCCCATTGTTTTGGCCCTAAGGTCTTGGTCCAAAAGGGTAGAAAAATTGTTTTGCATATGTGAGGGATGTGTTTTGAAATCGCAACCCTGTTGAAGAATGCTGAATTTTTTATGTGGATTTTAAGGCATGGTATAGTACAGGGCTGGATGCAAACTGACATCTCTCTCTTTTGCTCACTTTATTTCTCTCTCTCGCTCTCGTTTCTGATTTGGTTAATAATTTAGTTAAGCATGGGAGTGACCTCATTCCTGCAGTGGTTCTGACCGAGTTACTGGGATAGTATGTGTGCTATGCATGCTTGTTTGGATTGTACATGTGAATTGAAACATTTTAAATATGTTCAAGAAAACACAACTAAGATATGCAAATGTAACCAAGATCAAAATTGAATGATATGCAACCTGCTACGTTTTTGCAACATTATGAAAACATAAAAAATGTTGCATAAAAACGAACATAATAAAAACCCTTGCATAATGCAAAACATATTAAAGGAATATTTCCCTCCAAAATTAAAATTAGCTGAAAACCTTCAGGCCATCCATGATGCAAATGAGTTTATTCCTTCATTGGAACAGATTTGGAGAAATGTAGCATTACATTGCTCACATATATGCAAGTGAATGATGCTGTCAGAGTCCGGACTGATAAAAACATCATAGTAACCCACAAGTAATTCACATGACTCCAGTCCCTCAGTTAACATTTTGTAGGAAAAAAATTTAAAAATTTGGCCAAAATATCAGTCCATAATCCATAATAATGTTTCCTCCATGAAAAGTGAAAAAGTCCATCCCCTGTTGTCCTCTCACATCAAAATCCACCAACTATATGTTGGCTATTTTCACTTGTAAACAGTCAAGCATATCGCATATCGCTCTCCTGATTCAGACAAAGCGACTTTTTCATTGGCGAAACCAATATTATGGATAGAGGACTCACATTTTAGGCAGAAGAAACAGTTTAAAGTTAAAACCATCTTAATGATGAATTTGATTATTACAGACATGTAGCTTTTCACTTTACAAGACAGAGTAGATGTACAGAGTATGGATGGAGTTGAGGATGGAGTTTTTTTGGATTACGTGTGGATTTTTATCAGCTGTTTGGACTCTCATTCTGATGGCACCCATTCACTGCAGAGGATTCATTGATGAGCAAGTCATGTAATTCTAAATTTCTCCAAATCTGTTCTGATGAAGAAACCAACCCATTCACATTTTGAATGGCCTGAGGGTGAGTATATTTTCAGCAAACTGACATTTTTGGGTGAACTAGTCCTTTAAGGGAATAGTGTAAATGTGTTATCATAACCTTCTCATGACTTTAAAATGTTTTTGTAGTGTAGTTATGCTAGCAGGGTCCTTCTGACTTTGTCACAGGGCTTTATTGTGTTGGTAGAGTTTGATTCCGTCATAGAAGGTTGCATTGTCAGCCTTGTCCTTTCAGGTTGAATTTGAGGATGTGAAAAAGGGCACTTATAATGTTAGCCTTGTCCTTTTAGGTTGAATAAGAATTTAAGTTAACGTGTTTGCATATTTTGTCAGTAATTCTGGTGTGCTTGCTTTCCCATATTTCTCTGTACACTCTTAAAAATAAAGGTGCTTAAAAGGTTCTTCACAGCGATGCCATAGAAGAACCATTTTTGGTTCCACAAAGAACCATTCAGTCAAAGGTTCTTTAAAGAACCATCTCTTTCTTACCTTTTTATAATCTGAAGAACCTTCTTTTGCCACAAAGAACCTTTTGTGAAACAGAAAGGTTCTTCAGATGTTAAAGGTTCTTTATGGAACCATTTAGACAAAAAGGTTCTTCTATGGCAATGTGAAGCACCTTTTTTTTTTAAGGGATAGTTCACCCAAAAATGAAACTTCTGTCATTAATTATTACTGTTTTACTGTATTGTGTTCAAATAAATTTAATCTTAGTATATGCATGAGAGACTTTTGAACAGTCGTTTAATTATTTGCAATGAAAAGGCTGACGTTTAAATAATTCAGTCACAATGAAAGCATTGAAAATACCTTTTAAAAATCCATATATTTTTTTCTTTATTTCCATATCACTGAACACAAGCCTATCACTGGCTTACAGTCTCCAGCAATTCAAATGGTCATCACACAGGGCACTTTTATTATATAATTTTTGGTCTGTGTGCACAGGCAGACAGATGTCTTTAACCGTTAAGTTAAGTTAAGTTTTTAGTGTCTCGCTCCATGTGGGCCTTGTTTTTAAATTCAAATTTAAACATGCATCTCAGGATCCCACATTCTGTTGCGCTTCTGTTTCTCTATAGGTGTGAATGTAGGTCACTGGTGCTTATAGTCTCTCTCTCCCATGCTCTTTTGCAGCTTTCGTCTGAATCATGCAAAGCAGCTTCAAACATCAAACAGATTTGCAGGAATATCCATGCGCTGAGGGGAGAGAGAGGGAGCGGCTGTGTGCTTGTGTGCGTGTGTGAGTGTGTGGGTGGAGAAAATGGAGCATGAAGACCTCCTCATCTCCTCTTTTCAGCGTCTAAACTTACAATCATCACAGAATCACAACCAAACACACACACACACATTTACATAACTATCTAAATGGGGACATTACATATACTTAAATTGTTTTTACAGATAGTTATAAATACAGTAACCAAGCCCTACATTTTTACTTTTAGGAGGTTTTAGGAGATTTTGTCAGGTTTAGTTTGCTTCTGGGTACAATTTTGTCCCCAAAAGAAGTCAGGCCACACACATACAACAGATATGAGATGTGTCCAATCCACATCATATACTGCCCAGCTAACAAAAATTATGTTCTAAAAATGTTTTGTTAACTTTCCCGTTAAGTTATAAATATGTTATTTCTGAATGTTGTCTGAACACTCAAAATGTTCAGTTTTTTGTTTTAGAAAAGTTTTTCTTGGTTATGTAAACTTGAAACATTCCAATTTATCATTATTCACACTTTATATACAATCTAAAACAAGTAGTAACATTTATAAAAATGTACATGTCCATTTCAGGGGGGAAAAAGTTCCATAAACAATGTATAAATAATGTTTTTGTGTTAAAGTTTTGAGAACATCATTTAAATGATCAAAGAGAACATTATTAATAACTAGAACTTTGAACAAATATTCCATTATTGTTGCTAGAACCTTTGTTACTTTGCCAGAACATTAGCCAAAATTCTGAGTATGTTCCCTGTTAGCTGTGTATAGTCATGCATGATAATTACTGTAAAGCTCCAAAAAACATACCATAAAAGTATAATAAAAGTATTTTGTAGTAAACTTTTGCGCTATATTTCAGGTCTTCAGTAGCATTGACTGAATGTTAGAAGTGTCCATCAAATGTTATATAAAAAATCATGTTAGATAAGCATCATAAGCTATAATCAGACAGACACTTAGACAAACACAAAGGTATAAATACTAGCAAATTTTCTAAAGCATACACAAGTGATACAGAGATTTTACTGTATATTATGTCTGTACTCTCTCTTCAAAACGTACGCTCAAATACACTGAAATTCTGTGTTATTTCATTCGAAATCAGGTTTGTTTCTTTATATTTCTAAATACGTTTGATTCGGATCAGGATTCTGAAAGGTCAATGTCATTACCGTCAGTAATATTGATTAGCAGCAACTTGTCTCAGCTCATAAACTTTGACCTTTCCTTCTTCTCTTCAGACTGTCAACCCCAATTTAGCTGCATGTAACTGAGGCAAATATAATTCTCTCTTTGTCTTGCCCTCCAGTCCTGGGATATATGTACATGTGTGTGCACTTAAAAAGATTGTGGCTGATTTAATGGGTTTGAATAGAAACAGTTCATAAATCCATACCTGAAGTAAACGACACACACACACACACACACACACACACATTAGTGGCTGTATTGATTTTTAATTTATCAGGCTCTCAGCTCTCTCTTCATGTACTGGGCTGTGCTCTCTGGTTACCATGGCAACGGGTGACACGAGTGAGGTTTCAGCAGAAATGAAATAGACAGAAGGGGAGTGAGAATGTCTCTTCGATCAGGATTCTGAAAGGTCAATGTCATTACCGTCAGTAATATTGATTAGCAGCAACTTGTCTCAGCTCATAAACTTTGACCTTTCCTTCTTCTCTTCAGACTGTCAACCCCAATTTAGCTGCATGTAACTGAGGCAAATATAATTCTCTCTTTGTCTTGCCCTCCAGTCCTGGGATATATGTACATGTGTGTGCACTTAAAAAGATTGTGGCTGATTTAATGGGTTTGAATAGAAACAGTTCATAAATCCATACCTGAAGTAAACGACACACACACACACACATTAGTGGCTGTATTGATTTTTAATTTATCAGGCTCTCAGCTCTCTCTTCATGAACTGGGCTGTGCTCTCTGGTTACCATGGCAACGGGTGACACGAGTGAGGTTTCAGCAGAAATGAAATAGACAGAAGGGGAGTGAGAATGTCTCTTCCTTTAGTTCTGTCCAGTCAAATAAAGCAAAGAACCTTTTATCAAAGTTCATTTACATGGGAGTGTAATTTCTGCAGCAATATCATCACCAAATTGCAAAGAAATAATGACTCTTATCAAACAGGTTTCCAGAACACTTTTCCTGCCTGCAGACCCTCATTTTTGAGGAAATCAACATACAAATGACTTAGTTGTCTCTTGATACTTATTTCATAGTGTCGGCAGATAATAATAATAATAATCTTTATTTTCTGTAGCACGTAAATGTTACATCTCAAAGCGCTTTACATAAGCAAGTAAAACAACAAAATACACCATATGAAGATTATAAAATAAGCAAGAAGAGAAGAGATGCATTCAAAACACTTAAAATTAAAATAATATAGAATTAATACCAAAAATTCAAGTAAAAACTACCCTAAAGAATTGAGTTAAGGCAAGATTTAAAAATCTTTTATTCTACAATCTATTGTAAAAAAATTAAAAATAAAATAAAAAAAACTTCATATTTCATACACAGCGTTAGTTCACCAAAAAAATTTAAATTCTGTCATCATTTACTCGCCCTCAAATTGTTCCAAATATGTATGAATTTCTTTCAGCTGTTGAACACAAGAAGATATTTTGAAGAAAGTTGGTAACCAAACAGTTGACAGTAGCCATTGACTTCCATAGTATGGAAAAAAATACTATGGAATTCAGTGGCTATCAATGACATTTATAAGCTACATATTACACATGCAAAAACATGTTTAATGTTAATTCCTGAATTATTAAAAGTTTCCTTTTTGCTGAGTTTAAAAAGGCCAGACTGTAATCGACTTGCCAACACATCTGGTGTTTTTTTTTTTTCAAGCAGTGCCTGGTTGGGTATAAAGGGTAAAGAAAGGCCTCAGCACGCTGAAACTCTATGGAACAGAAAAGCGGGAATCCTGCTGTCTGACTAATGCATTATTCAACTGCAGGCATTCCCTTAAAACGTGGAAGCTGTGTTATTTTGTTAAGGCCACTCTGTCTGTTTCTGTCTTTCAGGCGGTGTACCTGCAGCAGGCGGAGGTGAACAGGGAGAAGGTGTCCCCCATGCACCAGAGCAGCATTGATGGAGTGGAGGACATGTCCACACTGGCAGAGCTCCATGAGGCCGCCATCATGCACAACCTTCATCAGCGATACCAGAAAGACAACATCTATGTAAGAATCTTAGAGACGCATGACTGCACGAAGGTCCATGGGACCTTATCAGGATTATTATTGTATCTAACTTTACTACAAATGTCTTCAGGTTTGTTCTGTCCCCTTATAAGCAGTTAATACACCTTAGATATTTTAATCTAAACCACAGAGAAATTCCCTATAATGTTATTGTTAAGCCATATGATATTTTTTCTGCTTTTGTCTGTAAAGTCTCCTCACTTGTTAGAGGCCAAAAGTGTATGATCGGCTAAAAAGTGAATGATCCTTCTGAATTTTAATAGTGTCATACATCAGAGGTCAAGTTTATCAAATCAATTTAAACTTAGTTTAAATAAAATAACACAGAATCACTTCCAACCGGTGAGTTACTAGGCCAGCTAAACTGTTGACTTCACCACAGATTGTTTTTATTTGTTTTATAAATAATCATGTCTAGCCTTGACAAGATTATTTTAGATGCAAATTTTTGATTCCTTAACTGATTCCTAAATTAAAATCACTAAAGTTAAACGAGAAATTTTTGATTCTAAGTACTTTAATACTTTTACTCGGCAAGGACAAAAAGTCAAAAGTGACAGAGTGTTGAAAGTTATAATGATTCAAAAGATTTCTGTTTCAAATAATTGCTGTTCTTTCGCAAATATTAAGCAGCACAACTGTTTTCAGTGTTGATAATGATAATAATAAGAAATGTTTCTTATTAAAACAAGAAATGTAAGCTCCGAGCTTATTAGCATATTGTGTGTAAATGTTTCAGCATCTGCTTTTATTTCCATTGTTTAAAGTGAGTTTATCAGTTTAAATACCAACAGAAGATTAAAACTGAGCTCTGCAAGTGCTCAGTGGACAGACTTTTCATAATTAGGGAGTTGAATTTATGCTAAAACAGCGCTGGGTTTTATTATATAAGTGAATTGCAAAATCCAGAATCTGACTATTAACCATCTGTTCTTAAATTAAACTTGCAATAATGCTCTTATGTTGGTAATTCAACTCACTGTTATCGTTCATACAGTATATACTGTATGTTTAACACACTGTAACAGCATCCGTGTGTGTGAGAGAGACAAAGCGTGAAATCAAAGAATAGGCCCTCAGGGCATGTTTAAATAAATGTGTGCCACTATAGGGTCTTACCGATGATGTTGACAAAGAGAAGGGTCATGTGATCAGGTGGTGGGTGCAGGCTGGAACCTTATTGGTCTAAACAGAGCCATACATCCCAGACTGCTGGTTTAGAGTTGTAGCCTGGAGGGAATGATATGACTCACTGTCTGCATTATGATCCAAACATTCCAGCTTGACCTTTGCAGAATCCATAGAAAGAGACCTTAAAGCCTTCTTTGTAAGGATTGACTGGGACAGAGACAAGCATACTGGAAGTTTTCAGCATGATTACACAGCTTTTATGTCAGATTCTTTTTAATCTTCCATCATACTGGTTTTAACTAACCCAGAGCTAGTGATAAAGTGATAAACTTAACTGAAGACAGAAGCTTAAAAATATATTATTAAAAAATATGTATTATGTGGTGTTATATTATATGATTATATTATTTTAAATGAGAGATTGTAAAGGGATAATCCACCCAAAATGAAAATTCTGTCATAATTTACTCACCCTCATGTTGTTCCAAATCTGTATTAAGTTTATTTATTCTGGAACATAAAATAGCATAATTTGAAGAATGCTGATAATCAAACTGTTTTGGTAATTGACTTCCACTATATGGACAAAATCTACAATGCAAGTCAAAGAGACCTGAAACTGTTTGTCTATCAACATTTTTATATACAGTATATGCAGAAAAAATGCATACAGGCTTGGAACGACACAAGGGTCAGTAAATGATAACAGAAATTTCCTTTTTGGGTGGAGTATACCTTTAAGAGACTTTATTTTTAGGTCTCTTAATGTGTTTTTGATGCCTATATTCTAAAGGTGTTCTAATCGTTCAGAAAAACTTTGGCAATTTCCAAAACATATTTGAATCAACTATTACATAAAACCCTAATGCCTGTGATTCAGTAGACACTATATCATACAAAATAAAATATTGTTTTTCACACATTATAAAATGTATAATTAAAATTATAATTTATAATGGCACTAAATTCTGATTAGATGAGCCATCCTCAAAAAAAGTCATAAAATAAACAACCTACCTGTAACCACAACTAACCACACATCGGTTTAAATCTTTACTAATAAAACTACATTACTTTGCATATTGCCCAGACTACTACAATTTATCAAATTGTTTGGTATTGTTTTAATATTTCACCACAAATAAGTGCCATTTTTACAGGCACTGGGACTATAAAGTCTCAGTCCCTGTGTCAGAGATAATTACTAGCAACAGTTGTGAACATGACCTGCTCTGTTTAGTTCACTGCATAGGGACAAAAACATCCGACAGTCATCTACACCCAAAACACATCATGCAATCTAAACCCATTTCAGAGTATAGTCCAATAACCTGCTCGAATAAGTGAGATAATAGCTGTATGGTTGTTTATCTTGGTATATTTGTGCTGGTAATGAAATGGGAGACACTGTATGATAAATCAGTCTAGTTCTCATATGCAATACAGGAAATTATGTATGGATGTTTCTACGATTAGCAAAGGTCAGTGTAATGCTTTTTATTAGTAGAGCCGGAATAAAATTTCACTATCAGTGTCTGAAAATTGCTTATATAAATTTCCCTGTCATTTGAATAAAAAATAAAACTGCATGCAAGGCTTCATTTGGCTGCTGTATTGTTGATCTTGCTGTAGACTGCAGATTTGTGTCATGTTGTGCTCAGTGGAGTGAATGTGAAGGGTCTCTCTTTTCTTGGTAAGTGGATACTGTAATTCACTTTTCCCAGGATGCATTGCATTGCTAGCATCTGAGGTTGATGACTGATAGCAGTGGTTATCTGATTTATCTGAGACACCAGGACATGGTCGACCTGAATGAGAATGACTCTTCTCTCTATCGCCCTCTTGGGGCAGTAGCAATAAAATATTTTTTTGGAAGGACAACATTGACACTATTTCAGATCCACAGATAATATACCGTGATTTTTTTCTCATTAGTGTAGTGTCCATAATGTTGGGTCTAGATGTGTTTGGCACCTCTCCAGGAATCTAGCAATGTCTCAATTTAATCTCATCACTGCTGTTGCTAAGATCAGTAAATCATATTACTGCCAGTCAGCTTGGGTGTTGTTAGCCACAGTATATGAAAATTACAATCACACACCCACACATAAACACATTAATAAAACCAGCATCTGTTAATGCAGTCGATATTAAATGAGATGGATTTATGTTGTCACAGTGCTCATAGATAAGGACAAACATCATCCACAATCCTCTCACGACCCACTGGCACAACCAGCTGTGAAATATGAACAGATCACATACTGATTATTGAACTTCCTTTGAGATTTCCCTTTATCTGTGGGTATAAATTAAATTATACACTGATCACAAATGTGTGTGCATTTGTTTCAATATGCTGGTTTTGTTGTTTTGCTGTTTGCTGGCTTTATTATACTCAATACCCCTTAACTTACTAACTTCACTATTTTCCTCTATCTCTCAGACTAACATAGGTTCTATCCTGGCGGCCGTGAATCCTTATAAGCAGATCAGAGGGCTGTATGATCTCTCTGCAGTGGAGCTGTACAGTCAGCATCATTTGGGCGAGCTGCCACCACACATCTTTGCTATTGTCAATGAGTGCTACCGCTGCTTATGGAAGAGACATGATAGCCAATGTGTGCTGATCAGGTAATATAAGTTTATTTGATCTTGATAAGCAGACAAACTTGCAGAACATGAAATACAGTGAATAGGAGATTTTCAGTAAAATGTGCTCATAAAATGCTAAAAGTTGTGACTGTGTATTATTCATTGGCTGGAATTAGTATGACCATACAAAGCATTTATCTTTCACTCCAAGAATGATAACTAATGATAATTATAACCATAACAATTTCAAACTTCCTATTAGCACGCACTGAACAAATCTTTGCCATTTTAAATGGATTTCTTCTGTGGAGTGATTCATTTAAACACCTCTGATTGGTTACTGAGTATAGTAACAACAATTAATCAACAATTTTCTATGGTTGTAATTGTAATTGTGCAGTCTTAGTCACTATTATTATTTTTTATTATTATCATTGTTATTTGATATATTATTATCAACCCCCGAACAGCACGTTTTACTTTACTTTATGTAAAACTCCTTTTAAAACTTCCATACATTTACATAGAAATGAAAAAAGAAACAGTTCTGTCTGACAATATGGCATGTATTATAAACGAATAGGCCCTTGTGTTTTCTAGAGATATCTCTATCTCTTCTTACTGGAAAAAGTTAGTGATTTTTTTGTGTCAATTTGTATCTTGTTTTAAAGCACGTAGGTAATGTGAGGAAGGTTTGGAATGCTTTTGGTTTTACTCACTGAAGGAAGGGGATCCATTATTAGATATTATCTTAGTTTACTAATCTCATTTGTGTTAAACTTAAAGGCTGAGTTTGAGCAGTTGTGGCTTTAGACCTTTGCCACAACTGCTATCAGATTTCACAGCATTGCTAATTCAATCATGGTAACACAAATGTCAGTGAAGGTCACAAATTAATGTGTGCATGCGTGTTTACCAGTGGTGAAAGTGGAGCTGGGAAAACAGAGAGCACCAAACTACTGCTACAGTTCCTGTCTGTCATGAGCCAAAACTCTGCCGGGACGCCGCCTACAGAGAAGACCACCCGCGTAGAGCAAGCTATCGTACAGAGCAGGTAAAATACATTTCTACACACACACACAAAGCCTAAGCATTTTCATGTGCACATACAAATCCACAACGGTTTTTTTTGCAGCCCCATCATGGAAGCATTTGGAAATGCCAAAACAGTCTACAACAACAACTCCAGTCGCTTTGGGAAATTCATTCAGCTTCATTTCTCTCAAAGCGGGAACATCCAGGGAGGATGCATCGTCGACTGTATCCTCCTCAGAGCACACATGCTTTAATACATAGTTTTTCTATACTGAGACATCTTGACATTTACAGATGGTACCATACCCATGTGAAAAAGAAGTGTGCTTAATTGTATTGAATGTGCACTTGCAGTGTGCTTTTAATCTTAATAGTATATTTTTTTAAGAACTTGCAGATAATATAATATAATATTATTTAAATAAAAGGCTACTTATTTATACTTGAAGAAAGTACAACTTCATGACTGTTTCTTAACACATTTATATGCTTTTAAAAGGTGTACTTTGTAAAAATGTCAAATTTAAAGTTTTACCTGTATTTAATATTACATTTAAAGTTAATTATTTAAAAGTGTTCATTTGTGATTTGATCATTACAAATGTGTAATTAGTCCTACATGGGTAGGTAAAAAAGCACTCCGAGTTCAACTAATTGCATTAATATAAATTTAAACTAGAAGACATTTCCATTTAATTTGCAAATAACATGCAATTAAGTGTCAGAAAATCCCAGTTACCATAATCACATCAACCATTTAAAATTTTGCCAGAGATTGAGTATTGTCCTCTAGTGTCATTTTATTAGCATAGGTTTTCTTTTTTTCCCCATAGAAATGAATGGTTAACTTGGTAACTGGGATTTGTTTTTCCCCATGCCTAAACACATTCACCGTACAGTGCACTACAAGCTGCTGTTTCAAGTGTCTGCATTTCCCTTAATTTTTAGCCCATCAGATTTACTTGAAAAGGTAAACCTTTCCATCTGCTGCTGACTCACCCCTAACTACCAGAAACTACTGTCTTCTATGATCAACTGTTCACAGCATAAAAGCCATTGTTCTGTTAATACAATTTGGCATTGGATATCTTGTCAAAGGCAGAATCACTCCACCATTTTGCAGAGAAAGAGTGTCTGCCAAAGTGAGATTCTCGCCCACTCAGCATCTGTGATCTGATCTGTGTTCCAGAATCGAGTGGTAAGGCAGAATCCAGGGGAGAGAAACTACCACATCTTTTATGCTTTGCTGGCGGGGGCCAGCAAAGGCCAAAAAGGTGAACGAATACACAATGCGCCTGAACACACATGCATTTACACACATTCACAAATGCAGATGTGCCATCATCAACCAAAATACACTGAATGATTAGTTATGTCCATCTCTTTTTAGAGACATATTTTCTGGAAGACTCCCCTGAGTTATTTCACTACCTGAGGCAGTCAGGATGTGTGAAGGACAGCAGTCTTGATGACAAGCAGCTTTTTGACGATGTCATGGTACAAAAAAGTTGAATAGACTTTTGTTGATCTGATCATTAACATTTTTGAGGTGAATAAAAATCTAAGTGCAGCATGATGATTCATGCTCTTTTTCTCTTTTCGTCTGCAGGAGGCTCTGAAGGTCATGGAGTTCACAGAAGAAGAGATCAGAGATATGTTTAAACTGCTGTCTGGAGTTCTGCAGCTTGGCAATGTGGAGTTCATGACAGCAGGGGGCGCTCAGATCACCACCCAACAGGGTGAGAGGTGTCATTCATCACTTAATAATAGAGAGACTTTGCTAATATGCAGTGCTGCTGGGTACTAACTGATTACATGTAGTCTGGATTACATAATCAGATTGCAAAAGTTAAGTATGTTTTAAAATGCTAATAATCAGATTACAGTTACTTTTTTATGGATTAAATATTATTCACACAATGGCATAAGTAAGTTATTCATACTTTATTGATTCACCCCAGTTCTTTTTTTCTTCTAAATGTTCATTTCTAAATGACCACTTATAAATATGAGACTAATAATTATGCAAGTTATTAAACACTGCCAATGGATAGCTGTGAAATACTATGTCTTCATCATATCCATAAGTATTTTATCGGTGTATTATTGGAACAAAATTATTTATATGGTCTGAACAAAATTATTTAAAACCTGGAAGACTTCGACCAATGAATGTCATGTTCATATGTTTATTACTGTTTGTTCATGTAATGTAGGGATTCCCAAGCTTTTTTATGAGCTGAACCCCTTTGATGTAAAATATTTACTTGATGTACCCCTGAGATTGAAATAATTTAGCAACATATTTGTATGTTCATTTTAATTTGACACATTTATGATTTCATTAATTTATTAGCATTTTATCAACATCCTACATTTTTTTCAGAAACCTAATGTAATGTTTAATGCATTTTATGAAATTGATAATATTGATCTTTTTTTATCAATATGGTACACAATAATTCCGTTCAAGTCTATGTGACGAATGAGTTAGGTCAAAAGTAAACTAAAAGTAGTCAGACTACATGACCTGATTTGTGTAATCCAGATTTTTGTCATGTAATTTATAATCAGTAATGGACAACAGTTCATAAGTAATCTACCCAGCACTGCTAATATGTGTTTGTTAGTAAGTCTCTTCTCTGTTTTCCTGCAGTTATCACTAATGTGAGTGAGCTCATGGGTCTGGACAGTTTTCAGTTGTCTGAGGTTCTGACCCAGCGTTCCATGATCCTCAGAGGAGAAGAGATCTGCTCTCCACTCACAGTGGAACAGGTACACATACATTCTCATATTGATATACTTAAAAAAAAAAACTTACATCGTTTGGCAGTTCTTCTCTTCTGTCTCCACTTTTATCATGCTTGATTGACAGGCAATAGATTCCAGGGATTCGGTTGCCATGGCGCTTTATTCTCAGTGCTTCTCGTGGATCATCATGCGAATCAATCAGAAGATAAAGGGCAAAGATAATTTCAAGTCTATTGGAATCTTGGACATCTTTGGTTTTGAGAACTTTGAGGTGTGAGGCCACATGGATCACATGTTCATGCACAGACACACATTTTTATTGAGATCTAACCCAAGTGTTTGTTTGTTCTGAAGGTGAACCGTTTTGAGCAGTTCAACATTAACTATGCTAATGAGAAACTGCAAGAATATTTTAACAAACACATCTTCTCTCTGGAGCAACTGGAGTACAACAGGTAAAGACCGACAACCGTGAGTGCATGAAAATTTGTTTTTTTTTCTTTTATTAAATGTCTATTTTTACATGTGTAATGCATCTCATAAGTGCCCGATCACCTGAACAGTTATTAAATATGAAATTTAAGCATCTAACAAGATTATTGTTAAGTTTGTACAAGTTTTGTGTACTACAATTGTGTGGTACAGGGAAGGGATTCACTGGGAAGCCATTGACTGGATGGACAATGCAGAATGTCTGGATCTGATTGAGAAGGTAAACCAGTTATGGTCAGCTATCAGGAACAGTTCGGTTTAATTAGTCCAGCTGCCACATATTTATACATATATTTTATATTCAAAGTTCAGTTTGATTATTTACAATAGTAGAAGTTTTCAGCTTTGTATTATGTAACACTTATTTACTGGTGTGTTTGTGCAGAAACTGGGCATGTTAGCTCTGATTAATGAGGAGAGCCGATTTCCCAAAGGCACTGACTTCACCCTGCTGGAGAAACTGCACGGCAGACACTCTGTGAGTTAAGTTCTTATCACACAAAGACATGATACTATTCAGCCAAGCATTTACAGTATAACATGAATAGCATCTTTTTCCACAGACTAATCCCTATTATGTGAAACCCAGACTGGCAGACCATCAGTTTGGGATAAAACACTATGCTGGAGAGGTATATGAAATATCCATCTGTCTGTCTGTATGTCTATTTATCTCTCTGTCTGTCTTATTTCTTGATTTTTTTGTTTTCCTTTTTATAGGTCTTATATGATGTGAGGGGGATTTTAGAGAAGAACAGAGACACATTTAGAGATGATATACTGAACATGCTGAAGGATAGTAGGTAAGACGCAAATGTTGTCACTGAGGCAGTTTTGTTGTGTACAACTTATTTCGCACTCTCATTTAACCTGTGAATTATTCTGTGTGTGTGTGTGTGTGTGTGTGTGTGCAGATTGGATTTCATCTATGACCTGTTTGAGCAAGTGAGCAGCAGAAATAATGAGGAGACCTTGAAGATGGGCACAGCAAGAAAAAAGCCCACTGTCAGCTCACAGTTCAGAGTGAGATAAAACTCCTATATCAAGACTTTTAAATAATAGACCTAAAATCGAACATGCTAAAGTGCTGCATGTTGAAACAATCAGGAACTAAGTCACTAGTCATTCAACCCTGTTTTTTGTTGACATTTTGCCTGCAGTCCTTTCTGACTTGTCAATGATTTAAAACATTTGATTGGTTGTCTCTTCTGTCTCTCAGGACTCTCTTCATGCCCTAATGGCCACTCTCTGTGTATCCAACCCCTTTTTTGTGCGTTGCATCAAACCCAATATGGACAAGGTGAGAGCAGTCACATCAGCCAATACAAATGCAATTTATATTCCACACATATTATTCATTTTAATAATGCATTTTTGTTTGGTTCTGTAGACCCCAAACAAGTTCAACCCAGATGTGGTTCTCAATCAGTTGCGGTACTCTGGCATGTTGGAGACGGTGAAGATTCGCAGAGCTGGATTCCCTGTCCGACGCACCTTTAAAGACTTCTCCAGCAGGTAAATGTTAAAACGCATACAGGTGCATGAATTTTTGTTGCCTCAGGTTTTCTTGCAGACTATGATTTAGTGGTTGTATGCATCAGGTATGAGATCATTCTGAAGGAGAAGGAAAAGGCAGCTGTGGATTCAAATGGAGATGAGAAAAAGAAGAGCACAGATTTGCTCACACTCCATGACAGGACCAAAAAGGAGTGGCAGATTGGGAAGACCAAGGTGAGTGACCTTTGACCTCTTGCTTTATCGCTTCTCAATTGATAGTTATCTTTTTCTGTCTGTGAGGTTATAAAGGTAGACTCACACATGGACATTTTCTGTCATGTATGTGCACTTGTTATGTTTGATTGCACTAACCTGATATAATTTTTGACCCCAAGGTGTTTCTGAAGGAACCTCTAGAACAGAAGCTGGAGAAGCAGAGAGATGAAGTGCGAAGCAAAGCTGGACTGATCATACGAGCCTATCTTCTGAGATATATTGCAAGGTGTGTGCATTTCTTGGTTTTTGCACAGATTTACTTAGATTAAATTAGGTATAGTTTCCAAAACATTTTCAATACACATTTCTTTAATGTTATCTGCCCCTTGTTATCTATATGGCCTAGCTTCCAACCTGTCCTGATGATTTTTTATGATCATCTTGTTTTCTTCAGAGTTAATACCAAGAATATTTAAATATACACTACCAATAATTTTTTTGTGTTTTTGACAGAAGTCTCTTATGCTCACCAAGGCTGCATTTATTTGATAAAAATATAGTAAAAACAGTAATATTGTAAAATGTTGTTAATATATTAACATTTTTTATTTATTCCTGTGAGTTTTCGGTTTTCAGCATTACTTGACCCTTCAGAAATGTCTTTATTGCCACTTTTTATCAATGAATTTATTCACAAAAATTTATTTAATATCATATTTGTTTTCAATGTGCCTGGCCCTTTTCTTATCACATGGTTGGCTTAAATAACCACACAGCCCTTGGCAGTGCTGCGAGGAGTAAACTCTTTTGCTTTCTACTGCAGCCAAATAGCAAAAGGAAATAATGAAAGCAAAACTTACAAGAGCAAGTTTTTCATACTATATAAGTGCAAGTGCCTATTCTTTACCTGTTAGTGCTCATCTAGACATGACAACAAGTAGTGTCTTAGTGACAGCTTTAATAAAATACTGATCTCACAGTTACTTATTCTAAGGGAACTTGAACTGTGTACTCACTACAGAAAGAACTTTAAGAAGGCTCTGGACAGCATTCTGACCATCCAGAAGAACTACCGCGCACATTTCTATCGACGTCAGTTTCAACGGAAATGCTCAGCTGCACTTGTTCTCCAGAAACACAGGCGAGGGCAAGTGGCAAGAGGAGTCTGCCACAAACTACGAGAAGAGAAGAGGAAGAAAGAGGAGGAAGAAAGGAAAAATAAAGAAGAGGAGGAGAAGAAAACAGGAGACCATGAAAAGAAAAATGAAGAGGAAAAGGAAGGAGAGAAAGCAGAGGTCAGTGACTTTAACATTCTTTTTAAAAGCTCATAGACCATGCATACTAGTTGTGTATATATTTTAGGGCAAAAATCCCACCTACCTCTTAAAGTCATTGGGGTGATTAGTGTCACTTGGTATATCAAGTGATCAACATTTTTAAGTTAGTCTTATCTTATTCCAAACTTTGAAAATTTCCATCATGAATATGTAATATGCATGTTGAGTTAAGCTTTTAAATGTGAGTTTGTCTGATTATGCTGATTGATTGTAATTATTGTTCTCACATAGCTTTGTCTTTATTCTGTATGAGCCCATTACTGTCACATAAGAAAAATGCTTTGGTAAATCATAATTATGACATAAAAAGTTACAATTATGACATTACAAGGTGAAATTATGACATAAAAGTTTAATATTATGATAAAAGTATGATATAAATGTAATTGTGACAAAAGTCATAAGTACATGATAAAAAGTTGAAATAAAAAATAATGAGATATTTTTGTCATAACTATGACTTTTTATCTAATTTTGACTTTTTCCAAATGTTGACTTTTAACTCATAATTATGACTTATGCCACATTTGAGAAATGCATTTGTAAACCTAAGTTAAAGTAAATTACGGCATAAAATCTTTATATCAAAAATGTTAAATTATGATACAAAAAGTCTAAATTATGACACTCTTTATGAGATAAAAAGTTGTAATTCTGAGATTAAAAAGGCATAACTATGACATAAAATATTTTATCATAATAATGACTTTATATCTAATAATTATGAATGTTTATGATTTTTTATGTGTAGAAACTAGGTTACCATGCTTTTCAACAACATTTTTAACAGACAAATTATAGCGCAACGTTTTATTCTTAATGAAACTTCAGACTCCTCCTCCAAAACAAACGGGTTTATGTATGGTCTACCTGTCAAATAGTTTTGTTTTTTTTAAAACCTTCTGGCATCAAGTCTAAAAACCTGTCAGAGTTGCAGACAGGTGGTGTCAACACTGTAATTTTTGTTTTTCTCTAACCAGTGTTTCTATATCATTCCCCTCTCCTTCTCTCCTTTAGTCTCCACACTCATCTGAGGAGGAGCATCGTCAGATGGAGGAAATTCTGCGTTTGGAGCAAGAGATTGAGCGTCTGCAGAAGAAAAAGGAAGACGGTGTGTCTATGCTATGCGAGAGCTCAAGACAGGAACTCCGCTTGCGGCGTGATGCTGAGGTCCTGCGTCAGAAAAAAGCTGCTTCTCGTGTCGCTACTGAATTCCTTGAACTGCTTGACACTGGAGGCCCAGAAGTCATTCCTGGTGATGCTAAACAACCTGCCCCCAGACCGGCAGGCACCACTGAGGAAGAGGTAGATGAAGGCTTCCATGCAGAGGAAGAGTGCATACCACTTCCCGAGTTCCCTCCTCCAGTGGAAGGTCCAGTGGATCAGGAGATCTTAGGCACTCTACCACCTCCTCCTCCTGCCTTTGCAGAGGGCACGGTGGCCCCATCTGCACCTAACGTTCCGCCTGAAGGGGCTAAAACAGTTGTGGATGGGAAAAAGGAGGGAGAGGATGTGGATCGCACCAGCAGGCTGACTGCAGCAGAGTCTCTGCCAGACACAGAGGAACCCATCTACAGTGTGCCTGGGGATGGCGAGTCGGACTATGACCAAGATGATCTAGAGGACGGACAGAGCAGCATTGTGGCGACAGACACAGAACACGCACGCAAGTCCACCTGCACCAACGCAAGCCAGGAGTCTTACAACCGCAGCTCAGATTCGGTGAGTTACACAGAGAACATGTCCACAAACATTAAAAATGTGTCCAAATGGACATGTACAATGTACTTCCCACAGTGTCAGACTGGATCTTCATAGTGGTAGACCCATTAAAGGGACAATTCACAGTACTATTCCTTCAAGTTAACTTGTGTTGGGTTCACATACAAGAAACACATAGTGTATAAACTGTAGTAATTATAGAAAGACTATTTCCTTACTTATTCTTCTTCTAGACCGAAATACTAGACCAAAATTCCTAGATGTCCCACAAATTAGGTTTTGTCAGGTGTAGCTCACTACTGAGTACATCAAATATTTGTCACCAAAATATGGTTAAGTAGGTATGCACACTCACACACAGACCATTCACTCTTTCTGTTTCTTTTTCAGTATGCTGACAGCGATGATGAGCATGATGGGTACGTGGACACAGATGAGGAGGTATCCAACGGTAAAGTCAACATCTTGAATGGGAACGGACCTCCGTATTTCCACAGTTACCTTTACATGAAGGGTAAGAAATCAAAGATAAAATCGGTTTACATTAAATAAAGTCCCTAATGCTGTGGTCCTCAATCTTTTTTAATTCAGTGCCCCCATTGTGAAAGATAATATTCAAAGGGCCAAAATGTGCTCATTTTCACACTTTTCAGACGGTATTTTAAAATAATAACATCATTAATAATAATTAAAACAAATTACATAATTGCAGATTTTAACAATTAACAATTAACCATTAACAATTCCAAAGTCATGGGTTTGATTTGCAAGGAATGCATAATTTGGTTAAAAACAATAGACATCAAATGCAATGTAAGTCAAATTGGATAAAAGCGGCTTCAAAATGTGTAAAATTCATATTCATTATTAAAATTTCCATGACTTTTCCAGAAAATCACACTTTTAAAAATCATTCATCTATCCAAGTTTACCAAGACTGAGAATCATGTTTCTTAAATACATAGTATTTAAAATAGTATTTAAATGTTTACATCTTGATTTTTAGCTTTTGGGGCTTATTTTAAAGCTTGTTTTGTCATATTTTAAACCATTTAAAGACATCTTGAGGCCCCATTGGAAGTTTGCTGTGATCCCCTAATGGGTCCCGGTCCCCTGTCTTAATGTTACTGAAATACCATCTCTTAAAAATGATAAAACAGCTGGGAAAATGTTGTTTTTGACCTGATGATGTATAAAAGTATAAATCTTCTTTGTCTCTTGCATCTCTTCCACAGCTGGCTTGATGATCCCGTGGCGCAGGCGTTGGTGTGTTCTGAAGGACGAAACATTCATGTGGTTCCGCTCTAAACAGGAGTCATTAAAGTCAGGCTGGCTGTACAAGAAGGGCGGCGGCCTATCTACTCTCTCTCGCAGGAACTGGAAGATGCGCTGGTTCGTTCTGCGTGACTCCAAGCTCATGTACTTTGAGAATGACAGTGAGGAAAAGCTGAAAGGGACAATTGACATCCACTCAGCCAAGTAAGTATGAGACACATAGGAAACAGTATTGTGGTATCATTAGGTGTCTATGTCAGGTAGGAAGACACTTTTTGTGATTAGTGATTGATCAGGTTTTATCAAGTTTTTTCCTGTTTTTAGGGAGATTGTAGACAATCATGAGAAAGAGAATGCTCTGAATATTGTGACAGACGAGAGAACATACCAGGTGTTTGCAGAGTCCCCGGAGGATGCCAGGTATGTTGACACCTTTATGTCTAGGCCTGTGTATTTTCTGTAATTGGACCAAACTGCTCTCACTCTGCACGCTTTCTTTTGCTCTCTTTCTCTTAGTGGCTGGTTTACCGTGTTGAGTCGGGTCCAAAATGCCACCCCAGAGCAGCTGCTGGAGATGTCCCATGAGCAGGCCAACCCAAAGAACGCTGTGGTTAGTGTCCTCACACTATGTGCATTTTCACCATTAAACCTCCATTCAGTTTTGACAACCGACTTTGCTCTCTTTCTCTCAGGGCACACTGGATGTTGGATTGATTGATTCAGTTTGTGCTTCAGACAATCCCGACAGGCGAGTATCATCTTTGTTACAGAATACTAAGAGGAAAACCAACTGCTGAAATTACTTACAGTAATTGAAGCTGAATTGTGTTATTTTTTTCTTCTTCTATAGTTTCAATATGATTTCATTTTGCATTCCCATTTGCTTCAATAGCAAAAGAAAAAATCCACAACAGCGTTTCTATGATCTTCCAAAAGAAGAAAAAAATACTGATATGTTAATTACAGTGATTAAAAGAGAGAAATTTGCCATCACTTCCTCAGCTGTTGTAGTTTCATGTAGCAGTGTTAATTTGTGATTTAATGAGAAGGTAATATAATGCAAAGTACAGTGTTCTAAATGTATGCAAAACGAAACAAACAAACAAAATTTTAATAAAAAAAATACTTTGCTACATTTACATCAATAACTGGGGAAATGTATCATCACAGTCTATGAAAAGGGTCCATTATGAGTAAGCCACTTGTTGACTATATCAAAATATTAATTAATGCAAAGTACAGTGTTCTAAATGTATGCAAAACGAAACAAACAAACAAAATTTTAATTAAAAAAAATACTTTGCTACATTTACATCAATAACTGGGGAAATGTATCATCACAGTCTATGAAAAGGGTCCATTATGAGTAAGCCACTTGTTGACTATATCAAAATATTAATATTTTAACGCTTATGTCATGCTAATGGCACAGAAGTTACACATTTCACCTTTAATGTTTGAACTAAATATCTGAAGATAAAAAAAGTGTTTAACGTTACCATATTTATCTGGTGCTAACACAACTTCTGTTTCCTTCCAAACAGACCTAATTCATTTGTGATCATCACAGCCAATCGTGTGATCCACTGTAACTCAGACCTGCCGGAGGAAATGCATCACTGGATCAGTCTGCTGCAGAAACCCAAAAGAGACTCCAAAAGTGATGGACAGGAGTTCCTGGTCAGAGGTGTGTTATTCATCTTTAACAGCGTTATAACCTGAATTTAGTTACCAAATGAATTTTATTTATTGTTAATTAGTTATTTAACATGTCCATGAGTATTTGGATTCAAATTGATAGGACAGTGTATATTTTAGGTTCTGTAACTGGTCACAATTTGCTTAAACTGTGTGTGTTCTTTTGTGACACAGGATGGCTGCACAAGGAGATGAAGGCAGGAGCCAAAAGTTCTGCTCTCAAACTGAAAAAGCGCTGGTTTGTCTTGACTAACAACTCTCTGGACTACTACAAGTCTTCTGAGCGCAATGCATCTAAGATGGGCACCCTGGTTCTGAACAGCCTGTGCTCTGTGGTCCAGCCTGAGGAGAAAAAGTTTAAAGAGACAGGTGAGTATGATATGATAGTGATATGATGTGACTGAGTATGATATTATTAAAAGTATAACTTATGCTGCTTGAGTAAGTAATAGAACAGAACAGGAATGTCCATACCATAGCTATAATGATATCAACACAGAGGAAAAATATATTTGGAATCACTTTTAGAATATTTTTTTTTTTACAGCTGATGTTAAAAAGCATTGATGCTCAATCAGAAACCACCAGACTTAAAGAGCTCAAGCATTTAAAGTGGCAGACAACATATATGTAGTGTATGCTTATAATAAACAACATTATCTTCCTAATATAGTTATCGTTATAGTTAATATTATTGGTTCACAATTAAGGAAGCAAAAAATTATTGTTTGGAACTGTTGGGAAGCATTTGCTGTATTGATTGCAGTCTGCTGTTGACAGCAAATACAGAGTGTATTTTTAAAGCTAAAAAAAACTTTTATTTATAATGCAAGTTTTTAATTTGTTGGTTATATGTCATTAATTTTGCATTTATTTTAATTATTTTATTTAATTTTGAAATTATGAAGATGTTTTTCTTTTTATGAACTAAGATACACGGTGACGCTAATGTCTGGTTACACTGCAGGTTACTGGAACATCATAATTCATGGGCGTAAACATTCATACCGTTTGTACACCAAGTTGCTGAATGAAGCCATGCGCTGGGTGTCTGCCGTTCAGGGCGTCATTGACAACAAGGCACCCATTGAAACGCCCACCCAGCAACTCATTAGGGACATTAAGGTAATTCGTTTTTAAAACATACGTCTGTTTTTTGCACTCAAGCTTAGAATGGATAAAACTGTTGTTTAATAAAAAATGGTACATACATTTTGGCCTTTCCTTTTACCTTTTCTGACATTTGTGTAGGAGAACAGTGTGAACTCTGAGGCTGTGGAACAAATGTATCGAAGAAACCCCATTCTGAGATATACCCAGCATCCCTTGCATTCACCTCTTCTGCCACTACCATACGGAGAGGTCAGCGAAAGCTGTGAGTATCGTCCATCAGCTAAATCACTCACACACAGAAAGTTGACAATTATACGCATCCAACACGGTTTCCTGAATTTGTTAACCTATTTCCTATTTGTGCAGAGATGCTTCTTGTATTTTCATCTTCTGTCATCTTTTTTTTGCAAATCATCTCTCTCTCCTTCTTTCTGCAGTGCAAAAGGAGAAGGGTTATGGAAGCCTGCAGGATGAGGCTGTGAAGATCTTTAACTCTCTTCAGGAAATGGAGATCATTTCAGACCCTGTCGCCATCATCCAGGGCATCCTGCAGACCTGCCACGATCTGCGGCCACTGAGAGACGAGGTGTACTGTCAGCTGATCAAACAGACCAATCACGTGCCCCAACCCAACAGCCCTGCAAACCGTGCACACTGGCACCTGCTCACCTGCATGAGTTGCACCTTCTTGCCCAGTCGCGCCATCCTGCGTTACCTCCGATTCCACTTGAAGAGGTAACAGAGAGAGAAGCTCATTAAATCGCCTCTTGGAGTTGAATAATGGTTATATTTCCATTTCAAGGGTCATTTGACAAACACTATGTTTTTTGGGTCTCTGTCTGTGACTAATCTCTCAGAGTTAGAGAGCGCTACCCTGGCACTGAGATTGAGAAGTATGCCCACTTCATTGGTGAGTCCCTGAAGAAGACAAAGACCAGGGAGTATGTGCCCTCTCAGGAGGAGATCGCCGCCCTGCTGAACAGACAAGAAATGACAACTACTGTGTACTGCCATGGAGGAGGGTCTTGCAAGATATCCATCAACTCACACACCACAGCTGGAGAGGTGAGAAGAAGAGAAAGAGATGTTATCGAATTTATTAACATCATTTTAACATTTCTGCTATGAACTGTATAATGAAATTACAGCATGTTCTGCAAATTAGGATGAAAGTGACATATTTTTTGTGCTTGTCTTTGTCAAGGTGGTTGAGAAGCTGATTCGTGGTCTGGCAATGGAAAATAGCAGGAATATGTTCTCTTTGTTTGAGCACAATAAGGTGGCGAGTCGGGCCATAGAAAGTCGTGTAATTGTGGCAGATGTGCTCGCAAAGTTTGAGAGGTAATGAACTGTTCATATGGTCTATGTTGATTAGATGATTTTGAATGAATGGTTGCTCCATTTCTGTATTTAAAACTGTCTATAGCATCTATAAAACCTATATTTCTGTACATGTTATTTCTGTTGGCTTTATGACTGAGGGTCATCTGCACTGCTTTGCTCTTCCAGGTTGGCAGGTAGTGAAGATGAGGAGGAGGAAGGGCCCTGGAGGCTATATTTCAAGCTCTATTGCTTTCTTGATGTGGAAAGCATGCCCAAAGAGGGAGTGGAATTTGCCTTCATGTTTGAGCAGGTAAAGTAATTATTTCTATTTTGTAGAACCTTTATAGTGAATTTTTACTATTGATTCACCCATTTAAAGCACATAGACAAATCACTTGTCAAATCATTTGTATTTTCTACAATTAAAACCAAAACAACAAAAAAATTGAACAGAAGTGAAGATTTTCCCCTATCTTTGTGATATAGCATGATTGGGCAACTTAGACCAGTGGGCCCTGATTTGAGCACCTCTGTTAGAAAGTGATTTTTCTCTTTTTTCACCATCTCTCTTAGGCTCATGAGAGTCTCATCAGTGGTCATTTCCCAGCCCTTGAGGAAACCCTTCAGCACTTAGCAGCCCTGCGACTGCAGTACATCCACGGTGACGTGGCCCGTACGCCCTGGAGCCTAAGCAGCGTCTACCCTGTTGGACGACTTCGCACCCGCATACTCCAATCCACTAAAGCAGGGGGTGCTGGAGTACCCGGCGCTGGTATAGTAGGGCCAGGAGGTCACACTTTAGAACGCCGGAAGACCAACTTCCTAGACGGGACGCTGAGACGCAGCTTCAAGACGGGATCGCTGAAGAAACAGCGTGTGGAGGAGGAACAGATGTTGGAGATGTTTGTAAAGGAGGAGATGTCAGCCACACTGACCAGCGTGCTGGAGAAATGGAGCCGTCTACAGGGCATGCCTCAACACCAAGCCATGCTCAGCTACATGACCATCATCAAAGAGTGGCCGGGATACGGGTCCACACTGTTTGATGTGGAGGTATAAATCTTTTCTTTAAGGCTGAGAGCATCCCTATTATTTTTTTTTTTAAATCCCACCTCAGGTCCAGAGTATCAGGGCTACTACCTCCTATCATAAATATATGGTTACAGCCTTGTAAAATAGCAATATAATTATCATTACTAACCCTAAGCCAAGCCCTAAAGTGCCATGTTATTTCAAACCTGTCACAATACGTTTGAAACTCTTATACTAATTATATGTGTTTTTATTTCTCTGTCTGCAGTGTAAGGAGGGCGGCTTCCCTCATGATCTGTGGCTGGGAGTCAGTGCTGAAAACGTCTCTGTGTACAAACGGGGTGAACCCAAACCACTCGAAACTTTCCAGTATGAGCACATCGTTTTCTTCGGTGCACCTCAGCCCAGCACATACAAAATAATTGTTGATGAAAGAGAGATGTTCTTTGAGACGTCTCAGGTAATGCACTTATGTACCTCTGTTATCAGTACTGTGTTGGACAAAATGGTGTTTAAATGGTTGTCTTTTGAGGATGTACACCACTGTCCAAAAGTTTGGGGGTCAGCAAGATTTTTAAATGTTTTTGAAAGAATAGTCTTAGGCTGGATTAATGTGATCAAACATACAGTAAAAAACAGTAATACTGTGAAATATTATTACAATTTAATATAGTTATTTTATATTTTTATATATATTAAGAATTAAACTTTATTCCTGTGATGCAAAGCTGATGCAAAGCTGAGCAAGTCTTCAGTGTCACATGATCCTTCAGCAGTTATTCTAATATGCTGATTTACTGCTCAAAAAAACAATTCTCATTATTATTAATGCTGAAAAAGTTGTGCTGATAATTTTTTTAGGATTCTTAGATTAATATAAAGTACATCAGAAAGAGCATTTATTTGAAATAGAAATCTTTTTTAGAAAGATTTTAAATGCTTTTACTGTCACTTTGATCAGTATAATGCATCCTTGCTAAATAAAAGTATTAATTTAAAAAAGACTTACTGTCCCCAGACTTCTGAACTGCAGTGTATATAGTGTGCAGTAGGCCTGTCGCAATAATCAATATATCGACTTATCGCGCAATATATGTACATGACCGCAATACTTTTTGGTGACGCAATATATCGCCCATTATACTTACTTAAAAATTGAAGTCACCATGTTTTGTACATTCCACTTGCGCCTGTGTCTTTTGCAGCTTCTCGTACATAACGTGGTGTAGTCATGAGGTGCTAGTTCAAATTTAAAAAATAAAAAAAAGTTTCATCTGCAGATATGGTCTTGTTTAGGGATCTGTGCCTTTGTGCATTTGCACTTTTTGTTAGAAAATGTTTATTTACTATTTATTCAGGGTTTTTAAGGTATCGAATATTTTGATACTTAATTTCCATGATCTAAATATTCTTAAATATTAAAAGTTTGTTGTCATTTGGAAGTGTGTAGGCCTTCCTGCATTATTATGCCGTTACATTACAATTATATATTCAGTGGCTTAAAATGGTCTTTAAAATGACAATAATATCGCTTATCGCAATTATTTCTGGGGCAATATATCGCACAACAAAGGTGTTATTGTGACAGGCCTATGCAGGCATTGACATTACACTCATTGTGAAAGCCCAACCTGTCAAGTCTTATGTAGCTGTATTTTTGTTCCCTCAAATCACAAGTTAAGTGACCACCTTGTTCTCACCAAAACTGCTTCACAAATTAAATAAACATATCATAACATATATAACATATCATATTGTTTTGTTTTGTGCTTCAAGGTGGGTGAAATCACTAAGATCATGAAGGCATACATCAACATGATCGTCAAAAAGCGCTGCAGTATCATGTCCATCACCAGCAACAGCAGCGCCTGGATGAGGTGATCGACACCAACCAGCGCCCAAAGTGTCCAGGAACACAATGTGATGAAAGTGAAGTATACTACTGACTGTTCTTGATTGGAGATTGAGAGCAGAGAAGAAACAGAGACTTCACCCTTCCAATGATTGAACTTAACCTACTGGAATCCTCTGTATACCTGTCCTAAATACAACAGCACATGTTTATTTAGTATTTATTGGACCAGTTTCACCTTTACGAAGCACAACAAAGCCTGGTAACATGCTCACTGTTCCCTCCCCTCACTGCCAGCACCCTGTCTGATGACCAAACTTCCTTGTCTCTTCTTCTCCATTTCATTCCCTTCTCTCTACCCTCAGTGATGTTGTACCTAACCAACAACCACCTACGACTCCATTTACCGGTAGTTTTACAGAGGTGTGTATATTGTGCTTGTGTGTGAGATCAGAGTTTGTGCACACACACATACAGAGCTATTTTGTAAAGCCACAAGAGAGCAGGAGGAGAAAGCTGTGCGTTAACATTACCATTCATCTCAATGGCAGCTGCTCGGCTGGCGCAGGACACCCCAGAAGTATGCGGTTTGAATTCTGCAACCTTTGCTCATGGCCGCTCAATTTCACATACAGGTTTTTTTGAGCCAATCACTTGAGCCATAAATGCCATGTGACTTGAGCCTCAGGAAAATTACATCATGGCAGCTCTGATTGGCTGATGGCACCAAAAGGAACATGCAGCATGATAAAAAATCTGCTATGATATAATGAAATGTGTGCAATGTATATGTTGCTTCTAAAAAATTTGCCTTGTGCCCTCAAAAGTGTAGTTACAAAATCTACCAGCAGAGGCCACCTGGAGTCAGTCAGCCAATCAGATAGCAGTATATCTGGGGCCGGCAGTATGTGGATATCAGCAGCGACTGTCTACTCGTTTGTATGCAACATCCTATTTTGTACTAAATGCCAGAGTCTATAAATACATATGCTGAAGTGTTACATTTGATACTGTCTAAATTATTTGTATTTACAGTCATTACAACGGTTTCCTTTTTTCTTTTTTTTTCTTTTTGCCTGCGATACAAAGCTTGTGTAATTTTAACTGTACCAAGGCACAAAAGCATACCCATTTTGACCAGTTTGGGTTCCTAAGCACCTCTATTCACTATTACATAGTTCGGATAACGGTTATGAAGTGTTATGCAAGTAGAGCCAGGTCTGCCTGCCCAAAGCAAGCAATGAAAAGTACTGTATTAGGCAACAGCAGTCAAGATTCAATAAGCATGTATTTGTACTGTTTCAATACATATAAGTAACATTAATTGTGAAACACTTATTCTATGATTAAAGCACTTAAACTGTTTAGAGCCTGACATTTGATGCAAAATTATGGGCCCACAGTATGTACAGTAAGGCTACAGATCTTATTTACATAAACTATCATTCAAAAGTGGGCTCAGTAAGATTTTTTTTTAATACTTTTAAGCAATGATGCATTAAATTGATCAAAGGTGACAGTAAAAAACATTTGTAATAAAATATTTCTATTTAATATAAATGCTGTTCTTCTGAACTTTACATTCATCAAATAATCCTTATAATAATAATTCTTTGAGCAGCAAATCAGCATATTAGAATGATTTCTGACAGATCATGTGACACTGAAAAAAGAAGAAGAAAGAAAACAGTTCATTTAAATTGTAATAATATTAAACAATATTACTGTTTTGTATTGTATCTGACAGCAAACCTTTGAATGGTATATATAGTCCTTGCATACATTTGAAATCTCATTAAACTGTATAATGTCATCATATCTGACTGCACAGAAAAACCAGCACAAGCTAAGACAAGTGGGTCTTTGAATTAAAAAATAAGGCTTTGCATATAAATCTTATGAGGATGTATGTAGTTTGCTGGCATGGTCATTATACAAATTTACTTGACTGGGAAAGCCTCGGATTCTTTAAAGAGCATTTTGACCAACTGGTGGCTAATCTGACGTAGCTACATATCTTTCCCCTCAAACCACAGGTGAAGTGACCATCTTGTCTTTAAAAGAACTGCCTGACAAATGACTGACAAACAGCTCATATTAAACCGACATTAAGGCACATTCTTAAAGTTTACGATTTTGCTCTTCTAAGAATTTTTATTTCGGTTTCTGGCATTTTATCATTGCCAAAGCAGCCTTTTTGTGTTTCATGTCATGATGGAGCTCTGCTAAGACTGTTACCAGAGTGGCCATGCTGCCAGAGAGATGACAGACAGCAGACATAACCGAGATTTAAATGGACCGTAACACCAAAAAAACATCATCCACTGACTCTCGATCAACACAGAATGAGTCCAAGTATGCCTGTTGTTTTTCTTTATGTGAGTATAATCCTGCCACAGTACCTGTGTAATTTTGCTGTTTGATATGCAACTATATTTGTCTGTTTTTTTGTGAATGTGTATGTCTGAATTTAATGATGAATTGAAATAAGGATGATGATGGAATATGATGAAGATGTTTATGTGCTATGTGTATGGGAAGTTCTATTATTATTGTTATGATTATATTTATGAAACAGAATGGGAAGGGGTGGGTGAGGGTTTGGTGCATTTATCTGTTATGATGGTGTTATTGTTGATAATTGGAGAAATGAAGGTGTAGGTTTATCCTTTCATGCTGATCTCAGATTTCTTGGAGGCTTAGATCAGCATTAAAGGGCTGCCAACGCTGTGAAGAAATGGATAGATTTGACTTGTCATGAATAAGTAGAGAAGATTTGATGTAACGGTGTGTTGAAGTAACAAACAAGTGTGTGTAAGTGTGTGCGTTAAGAGAAGGTGGTGTCAGAGCAGCCGAGAGGTCTCAGGTGCTAGCTTACACTCTGCCTCATACACACATATTAACACACACATGCTCACACACAAAGATCAACATAAAACATGCACACATATATAGCACGGTAGATTCTGTCTCTCACATTCACACTGGGGTCCTTGCTCAGCTGCAGGCAGCCAGTACAAGGCCTGAATGTAATTTCTTCATTGCCATTGTTATAAAAGTGTAAATTATTGCTTACTCAAAAAAAAAGAATAATTGTGCTTGTTAACATATTGAGAGAGAGAGAGAAAAATGTTTTCTTTTGTAACTGGCTTTACAAAATGCTTTAATAAATTATTGTAATTTATCTCAAGCACTGGTTTCGTTTGAATAATGAATATCCTAAATGAAGGTGAATATCATTTGTTCAGAAACTGTCTGACAACTTATTGTTTTATTTATTATCCACTAGAGGGTGCCAAAACATCTGGGGTCCGTTCTTCGTACCTCGATTAATCGGAGATGATTTGAAAGATTCCAGATCTAGTAATGGTGATAACTGATCTCTGGCTAATTTGGTTCTTCAAACGAATTTGCGGATTTGATTAAAATATCTGGACTAAGTTGTCTAAGATTATTGCGCGTTCTCGTGTTCCTCGAAAAGAGCAGGGGCAAGTTCAAGCTCAAACCGGTGTGCACCGTTTTGCTACGGTTTCCGGTTTGAACGACATGTTTCCTGGAAACGGTGTGCAACGGGGTTTGAGATGTGTTTTCTCTTGTTTGGTGGGTGTGTCAAACATGTCAGCCCAATCAGCAGCAGCATGTATATAAACCATGCGGTATTAAAGAGACAGCTTGCACAATGTAATTAACATCCAAATAAATTCACAATAGCAAGTATATTGTTTGCATATGTTAATTTACATTAAAGGCAAAATAACTGAAATAAGGGCACAAGTATAGATCTGTAGAACTTCTTTAAGTCTGTCTAAATATAATTTAGTAATTTCAATGTCTTCTGGTCCATATCCTTTCTTTAGGAAGGTGTGCTAAATACTGATTAATGTAACATAAAAATACTATACATATTTATATATTTTGCTATTGTATTATGGAGTGACACTTTCATAAACTTTTCTATACCCCTCTGATTATATAATGGTAAATATTACAATATCATAGCACAACAACAGTGATTAGCAATAATGATAAGCCTAATACTCACAATAAAAATAATAAGTCATATAGATCATAACACAGTCTCGGAGGTAAGAAGTGGATTATCCTTCACCTGAAATGTTTGTCTTTTCATCCTGAAATGCGGGGCAAATGTTGGATCACAATAATTAGGAACCACAGTTTCCACAAATCCCTTCATTTGATTGGGATGTTCTCTTTTATTCTGGAGGGCAAGTGCAGTGACTGTACCATCGAGTGTAATTTGCAGTATTAAAATTCTTCAAAAAGAACACAAAGATTGGCCTTCTCAGCTGCCATAGTTGCAACTCTTGCGTCATCAGAACAAGGGTGTGTTCAACGCATCACCGTTTCCGTTTAAAAAACGTTTTGCACCGTTTTTGTCGGGGCTGAACGCAGCCCTGATGTATCGATACTCGAGACCATATGGCGTTATTTTACTGACAAATGTCGTGAGCGCATTATTGTAGCGTGAAAGCACATTAATACAATGCGCGAGCACTAATCTCTCTGCTTGCGTGTGGATTTTCCTTGCTTTTGCAAAAAAACTGACGCTTGCGCTCAGATACACGATGCTCTCGCCTGGAGTGAGAGCGCGCACTTACAACGTGTCTCTCCTCTCACTCAAACTGTCCTGTGCACTCACAAATCTCTCTGTGCTCATGCACTATAGATATTAATTATTTTCGCACCTGAATTAAACATTGTCAAAGGTTATCATTATGCACTTTTAAAAAGTAGTCTCAAAACAGATTTGTGCAGGGTCTTTCCTTGATTTTTTTTATTGTTGTATTTGTGTTTTAACAAACTGGTTATTGTAGCTACTTTGTTTTACTATATCTCTTTTATCTTTGTATTTTGATATTTTCTGCAAATGCACGTATGCATCTCTTTGTAAAGTAGGCTACTTTGTAACAACTCCTCAAATCAACATCAAATGTAAAAATAGATGTAAATGATGCAAGATATAACAATAAATGTTCTAATAGCATTGCTGTTTGGCCATTTATTGGGAGTTTTTTTTCAGTGCGTCTGCAGCAGTGCAGAGATCGTTTTTTTTGCTGTGCTGCAAGCGCTGAATTAAAGTAATAGTGCATTGTTTGCAGTAAATATGAACATGGATTGACACGAAAATGTAGTAATTACACCATAAATGCATATTATTAAAGTCTACTGTGTTTCACAGTCAACACATTTGGCTTTTTGGCTAGGTTTAAAGGGAAAGAGCACTTTTAGATAAACAAGGCAATAATAGATTGCACTCCTGGAGGTAGGAAAACAAAGTTCTTTATGAACTGCACGATTGCTTGTAATAAAGATTTAAATGCAAAAGAAAAGGCAGTAGAGCTGACTATTTCTGTCAATGGTAAGTCTGTGATAACGTAAGAAAAGTAGTTTAAATGTTTTGCCACTTGCTTGAGCAATTAAGATATAAATCTAGAAGTAAATGTAAAAGTAAAAAGCATTGAATAATGTGTTGCTTATATTTATTGTGTTTAAACATGTCTGTGAAAGATTGTATTACTGTACTGTGTAAAAAAAGAATTGCAATGCTGAAAAAGCATTTTCAGGGACGATGTTTGGATTTGAAATCAAAATAATGGATAAATGTTGTGTTTGTGGTAAACAGCCACGGATCAGCAGCAAACTCTCAAGAGACACCTAAGAGGGGAATTCCCCCCATTTTCAAAAATGAAATTCAGGCCCTGAATAAATGTCTAAAAATTCTGATTGGAGTATCACTATAAATAGTTATAAATGATAAAAATAAGGCTTTAAAAAGATCGGTATCGGTGATCGGTATCGGCATATATTGCTTTCTGTGATCGGTGATCGGCCTCAAAAACCCTGATCGGAGCACCCCTACTACTTAATAATAATAAACCACACCTTCACCGACGCATGTTTGTAATTTAAGCTCCTGAAGGATGTTCAGCACCATAAAAGAGAAACAAAACTACAAAACCAGTTCCCAGCTTCTGGTCGGAGGAAGTGTCTGCGCTGAGGTTTCAAAGGGAGATATTTGCTGACAACATTTATTACAAACTAACAGAGGAATAAGTTTTATTTAGGTATTAGTTCATTTAAAGAAGATAACATGCATTTTATTCCTCTCGTCCTCCTTCTCCTTGGTTTGAGCTCAACGCTGGCACAGAATTCAACAGCTCCAAATACAACAACAACACAGACTACACAAACTTCAACTACGACAACACAGACTACTTCACAAACTACTACAAGTAAAGCACCGACTACAACTCCACGTCCAAGTAAGGCAAATAGATACTTTTGGCTGAATACATTCTAGAGGGAAATAAGGTTCAATGTTTTGTTACCGTTATAGAACCTCTAGTTTCACTGGTGTTGAATTTACATACAAACAAATTTCAAACTTGGTCTTTGTCATTTGACA